GAGGAGAAGGAGGACAAGGAGTGTGCCATACCTCCCTGACATCATTTTATACTGATCACATGTTGAGATAATACATTTGACTTTGCTGGATAAAAAAAACACACTTTAATTCATTTACCCAGTTTGTTTTGACTTGACAGAAAAGCTACTAGAAATTTTCAAATGCACTCATATGGCCCCACTATGTTTCTATTACACAGCACGACCCACCTCCCCCGACTCCAGCCCCACAAACCTCTTACTCCACTGAGGCTGCCAACTTGACCAAAACCCTCTTGAGATCCAGGCCCAGCAGGATAACCTCTTTCTTCCTCTGCCCAATACCCTCCCTATTGGCCTCTTTCTTGAGTCTGAGAAAGGGGCCGATTCCCTCCTGATCCACCCAAGCCTGAGAGCTGATTCATTTTTGTTGGTCTCCCTACCTTCCCACCTGAGGAGGTATTCACCAATCAAGCCTTTGGTCCAGCAGTGCTCCTGAACAGAGGTCTTTAGGATCCAAGGATTGGGGATTGGGGGTTGGGGGAAAACGGGACAGCTCACTGGGTAAAAATGCTTGCTGGGCAAGTCTGAAGACCTGAGTTCAAATCACCAAAACCCACATAAAGCCATCCGGATGTAGCTCAGGACCATCCCAGTGCTCTTAAAGCGAGACGGGAGAGAATCCCTGGAAAGGTAGGGGATCAGCTATTCTGGGTAAGTAGGGAGAACAAATAGATCAAACCCGAGGTTGTCCTCTGACTTCCACAGGAGCTCCACTGCATGTGTGCACCCGCACTCACTCCCCCTCCCCCACATAACACACGTAGTACATACATAGCACACACATAGGGCGAGCGCGCGCATGCACACAGGGATTGGGAGTTAGGGACATGAGGCACAGGCTACACCCCTCAGGAGTGCAGTCAGTGTGTGCTCAGGGCCACACTGGTCTGCTTCTGTTAATCACTATGGCAACCAAGCAGTCCAAAACAGTTTATATCCCCTGGACTGTGAACTCCTGGCTACTTGCAGTTGTCCTGGTCTCCGGGAGGTTGTCCTGCAGCTGCAGGCCCCCACAGTGGGAACGCGCCCCCCGTCGCCACACCAGTCACTTCCTCTGCCTCGGTGGCCACCTTGGAAAGAAGCTTCTCCAGGAACTAGGACTCGCCTTTCCTGGGTAGCCCCTCCTAGCGCAGGACAAGGTCTCTGCCTCCGGAAAGGCTGGAAAGGGATGTTGCCTCTTTATGCCCCTAGTGCCCCACCGAGGTGTGCGCGGAGGCGGGGGGGGGGGGGGGGGGGGGTGTCACTGGAAGCGCTCGGGAGGATCCTGGGATTTGTAGTCCACTGCCCAGAAGCTCAAGCTGGGTCTAGCCAGGATCCGCCCCCTTGGGGGCGTGGCGGTGCGATCTTAGAGGATGTCACATCATCCTGAGATGCTGCCAAGCTACCCTCAGCAGTAGGTAGTATAAGTGCTGGCAGTTTTCTACCTCACCACTCCAAGGCTGGCCCCCACACTTGGTGTTCTCATGGACGGAAGTGCAGACTGAGGATCCGGGAGGCTAAGCTTTGCCACAGCTCTAGACTGGACCAGGCAGGAACCCAAATTGTAGCAGAGCCTGCGCTCATGGAGTCCTGCAATAACAAACGACTGGGGCAATCCCTAACCTTCTCCGGTGATTTCAGCAGAAGTGGGGTGGAACAAGCACTTTGGTGCATCAATATCTTAAAGCAGCCCTCACCTCTACGGAGCTTTATTTGGTCAAAGGGCTAGGGACCAGTTGCACAGACCCAAGTGCTATTCTAGGGACTGTAAGAGTGAGACCACGGAGGACAAGTCACAGCCTTTGGGTTGCAACAGCAAGAGGTTTATTCAGGACACAGGTACCTGTGGGCACAAAGTCTCCTCGGAGGACTAGCGCGCCTCAGGTTGAGTTCAGGGGATTTTTATAGGGCAGGAGCAGTGTACAGAAACAGAAGTGCGGTTATTGGTTAATTTCAAACACATATAGTAATTTCATCAGTAATTTCAAAGGTATGCAGAGATTCAAACACATATAGTAATTTTACCAGCAATTTCAAAGGTATGCAGAGATATGGGGTAAGGTCCGGGGCTGAGGGGAAATAGGATTGCTAAATGGGAGGTGACCTCAGAAGCACAGATGTTTTCTAAAGATTTCCTGGTATCGGGCCCCCAGGGTGGTCAGGAGTTCTGTCTTGTTTATGGCTTCATCTGTGAGGCTTGACCGACGCCTGCCTGTCCTGCAGCCTTTTGATAAGGCTGGTTCTGGTTTTTGTTAAGTTTTAACAAGTGGGCTGTGGGCCCCTGAGCACTCATGGCGCCTAGTTTCTTTTTATTTTCTCAGGACCAGCATCACTTACACCAATGGACCACTCTAGGGACTAGCTAGCTGCACAGACCCAAGCACTGTTCTTGAGACCAGCGTCATAAACCAGTGGACCACTCTCCATGTTCCAACTTCTGAGCAATGCAAAACAAAGATCAATGGCCTCTGCCTTCCATGTTGCTCTCAAGTTTTGAACTTCTCTCCTTTTTCCATCACTACCACTGTGGTGCAAGCCAGGGATCTAGAAATGGAATCTGGGAGCTGGTTGTGCAGCTCAGTGGTGTGGTGCTTGACAAGCATGCTGGAAGCCCTGAGTTCTAGGCTCACCACTGCTAAAAGTCAGGTTCATGTGCCCTTTTCATGTGCAAAGACATTCCAAAGCTTAGGTGTTCTGAGTTCTTTTCACTTTCCTGGAGTTGTGTATTCTTGCTGGCATATGCTTGAAGCTTCCTCATTCAGGCTCCCGCTCCTTTCATAGCTCTGTTCTTCAGCTTTTCAAATGCAGAGTGGCCAACCCTTGCTCACTATGAAATATGCATTCTTATGCACTGAAATGCATCAGCCCTGGATTGAAAGACCAAAAGCCCTGGCAACAATGGGTTCAGGACCGGTTCAGGATAAAAGAAAGCATGCTTAGATAAAATTATGTGGGGGTGACAGAAGTAGAAATACGAATATAAGGAGGCAAAATGTGGATGTCAATTTTCCTAATCAAGGAAGAGCTTGTTGTGTATTTTAAACAGATCCTGAGGATACCAAGTTTCCAAAGTATTTAGAGTCCAGTGGATACCATTAAAACACCAGTGCTAAACATTGATTCGTCAGCATGTGCAATATGACAGAAATGGTGTATTTATAGCCATTTAAACTGAGTAAAACATCCTCAAGTTCTACCTCAACGTATGGGAAGGGATGTACTTTCTCAGAAATATTTTTGGGATATTTGTGAGCAAAATCAGCTGACTTCTCATCCAAGCTGTCTTCCTCTGTCAACTACAACTCTACGGTAGCCTACTACCTGATCTTCCAAAAGACTACCTTGCTCCCCACCTCCTCCAAGACTTTCTCTGCAGCCAACAGTGACTTCTTAAGATATAAGTCTGATCCCAATAATCCCTTCTTAAAACTCTTGGGTGCCTTCCCACTGTGTATTCCATGAGTACTAAAATCCTTACCTGATTTATATAACTTGAGTAGTGAGGTAACTGTCTGCTAAGCCCAATGACCTCAAACCACTCTTGCTTACTGGGCCTTATTTAAGTTCGTGTGTGTGTGTGTGTGTGTGTGTGTGTGTGTGTGTGTATTGTTTTCCCACCATTTAAAGTTTCCATGATGGCTATGCCAAATAACATCCCCATAAGCAGTGAAAAAGGCATTGGTTTTCTCTACATCCTCTCCAGTACTTGCTACCTATTGTGTTTAATAATAGCTATTCAACATATCTAAGGCAGCCTCTAATTGTGGTTTGGGTTCACATTTCCCTAATGGTGATGTTGAGCACCTTTTCATACAGCCACTGGTCATGCTCTTTTGTCTACTTTTAAATCAGATGATTTGGGAGCCTTTGTTTGCTTTCTTGCTTTTTGCTCTTGGGTTGTGTTAACTCATTGTTATTTTGGTTATTAGCCCCTTATGAAACAGGCATACAAATCATGAATATTTCCTCCCAATCTAAGGGTAGTTACCTATTTTCTTTGGCTGTGCAAAAGATTTATAACTTGAGGGAAATCACATTCATGCTTTTGCTGCCTGAAGTTTTGGTGTGATACCAAAAATATAAATATTGCCAAAAAGAATGCCAGGCAGCTTTCCCCATACTTTCTTTTAGTTTTGTGGTTTCTGGTAGATTGTTTAACTCTCTAATGCATTTTGAGATGGTGGTGTGCAAAGAGGGTCAGATTTATTTTTTCCACTTGTAGATGTGAATTTTCTGAGTACTATTTGTTAAAAGACTGTACTTTCCCCATTGTGTGATCTTGGCACCTTTTCCTGAAAGGCAGTTTGCTGTGGCTATGTGCTTTCTTGTCTTTCTTTTCCCCCTATTGGTTTCTGCTTTCATGTCAGCACCGCATTCTTCTGATCACTGTCATTATAACATCAGGAACTTTGGATTTCTCTTTCAAAACTGGTTTGGCTATTTTAGGGCTTTTGTGGTTCCACAGTATTTCAAATTTCTAAAACCTTTAGTGAAAAATGCCATTCAAGTTTTCTGGGGACACGTTCCAAACTTGAGCACCTCGCAGTCAGGAATATTGGAGTCACAGGCCTTGTCTGTCACCCCACACCCTCACTTTAACACATAACTGACTTATCCCTAGTTCCCCTCACTCCCAAATGATCTGGCAATCCAGAGAGCCACTTGCCTTCACACCCATCAGTGATCAGTGTACTCCTGACCACCAAGGACCCCTTGCATCTCCTCATGACCCAGCCCTATACATACACCAATGTTGATCAAACTCTCCCAACCCCAGCAGAGGTGGGATGCAGCTGGAGCATCCACAAAATTTATTGATCATAAACATTTACTGAAACCATTATAGAGGAGGGGATGACAGCACGGAAACTCTTTACGGCTGCAAGGGGCCACAGATCCCACTTGGAGTTCCTGCCTGCCAAGTTGGGGCCCACTTGCCACAGGTTCTCTCTTTCCAAGGGCCCCTGATCTGCCTCTTTCTAGGACACTACCCTCTGGCAATGCTCTTGCTCTTTGGGACAACCTCTCGGGGCATCACCCACTGCATCTGGCACAGAACCAATACTGGACACTGTAAAACACAGCAAGGAACATCCCATTAAAGTGAGAAAATGGATCCACAAGTAACAACAGGAAAGCATGGTACCCAAGCTCCACCCATCCCTGGTCCAGGTCTTCATGCCATCTCCAGGTCAAAGTCAATCATGAGATGAGCATCAACCAGTGCCTTGACACTGTCATCCATTCTTCCCACTGGCTCTCAGGGCTAGGTTCAGGGTCTCTGGGGAGACATGCTCAGGTGAGAATGTACACATCCACAGGAGCACAAGCAGCAGGGGCTGGCCTAGATGTATATCAAAGTAGACCACGAGCTCAAGACACTAAGCAGGAGAGGAGTGAACAGACTCTTGGCTGGCCCAGTTCATAGCACATGCTGTGGTGTGGAGTTGACTAACTGGGTGGGTCAGGGCCTCTGCCTGCCCAGGGTTGGCACACAACTTCACAGTTTGGCATAGGACTAATGGATGATGGAGCTGGTTTGAGAGTGGGTGCTAACTAGACAAGTGAGTCACTTTGAGGCAGACAGGTAAATTTCCCAGGGCAGGAAGCAGCCTGTCTTGGGATGCTGAATAGGAAAGTGGTAGTCTCCCTACATTGGAAGAGCCAGCCAAATATTCTGCAACCCTTGAGATAGACTTTCCCCCTCCCAACATCTTCCAGGCAGATATCTACAGGCCCTCTTCTCTACTCTGGGGCTGACCCCTCAGCAATGCTTCCAGACTGATGGCTCTCTGGAACAGTCTCCTCTGCCTCATGCTCTCCAGCCTAAGCAAGGTAGCCGTGCACCCAGCCAGGCCCTCCTGGGCACTTCCCAGGAATACTGCCTGTCCAAGCTGGGGTGGGGCTCCCCAGGGCCTCATTGGATTCTGCCTGGCCTGTATCTGAAGGAGCATGGTCTAGGCTGTGGTCTTCCCCCTCTTCATTCTCCTCCTCCTTCTCCACTTCCTCATCCTCTGCCTCCACCTCCTCCTCTGCCTGCTCCTCTACCTCGTCTTTCTCCTTGTCCATGTTCTCATTTTCTGCCTTAGCATTGGCTCTGCTATCAGCTTCTTTCTCCACCTGGGCTCTCACATTCTTGGCTAGACTGGCCTCCCATGCCTCTGACTCCCAGATGAGCCCCAACATCTCCAGGAAAGTTGGAGACCTCTCAATCATTCTCCGTTTCCTTAGAGCTTCACCCAGAGGCTCAGTCAGGCTGGCCCTGGTAAGCACCTGCCTCAGGCATACATGGTCAGTGGAGGCTCTCTCCAGGGATTCCTTCTGGATGGCTTTCTGCAGCAAGGCTTCCAGCCTCAACAGGAAAGCCAAGAGCTGCTCACCCAACTGCTGTTGAGTAGTCACCTCACCCAGATGGTGGCCTGAGACTGTCTCCAAACACCTGGATCAGGGCCACTAGACAGGTGTGTCAAGTTCACAAATGACGCTATTCAGCACAACTGATCCCTTGTCAACTTGACACACATTTTAAATCGTCACTATTAAATCATAACCTTTCCATTTCTTGTCCCCCAAATCTCATGTTAATATCAGTATCATAATATAAAATCTAATGTGACTTTAAAAGTCCCAAAGTCTTTTAAAAAAAAATCAAACACTTTAAAAGTTCAAAGTTTCTTTAAAATGTCTCTTAATTATGGGCTCCTGTAAAATCCAAACCAAGCTACATACTATCTTATTTCAAGAGGGAAGAACCAATGTCCAGCAGGGTAGACATTTGGAACTCATTCATGATCTGGGTTCCAAAGGGCTTGGAAAGCATCACTTCTCTGGCTCCATCATCTACAGCACATACAGTTGTTTCATTGGCTCAGGTCAGCTCCACACACTTGCCACTGTCCTTGGTGGTCATCCCATAGTCCTGGCATCTCTACCATATCCTGGGGTCTTCACTGCAACTGAGGCTGCGTCTTTACCCATGACCTCTCCTGGCCTCACAAGGCACCAAGCCTAGGATTCTATGACCCCATCATGTCTTCAAAACCAAGATCACCTGGAAGACATACATCCAGCTTCTAGCTTGAGATAGAGCCTTGGCCCCCTATGGACCACATCTGTGTGCCCAACTTGAAGAAATATTCCCAAATGAAGATTTCACCTCAATAACACTAGTTTCTTGTTAATCACAGCCAATTTTTCAGCCCCAGCTGACCAGCACTGATTATCCCAATAAAGCACAAACAGCCCTGCTAGTCTTTGCTTCTCCTGAAGCTTCACAAGCCATGCCTCCACCGTCTACATTTCTTTTCAGCATTATCATCCAGGTTCCCATAGAGTAGCTCATTAAGCCCTGAGCCCACAATGGCTTTTCCAGCCCAAAGTTCTAAACACTTCCACAATCCTCATAAAAATACATGGTCAAGTTCATCACAGCAATCTCTCTCTCTAGTACCAATTTCTATCCTAGTTATTTCCTATTACTGTGATAAAACACTGACCAAAAGCAAAGTGGAGAAGGGTTTATTTCACCCTGTATCTTACAGTTAATTATGGAGGGGAGTAAGGGCAAGAACCTGGAGGCAGAAACTGAAGTAGACACCATTGAGGCATGCTGCTTACTAACTTGTTCCTCTGGCCTGTGCTCAGCCTGCTTTCTTATACAACCCAGGACCACCTGCCCAGGGGTGGCACCACCCACAGTGGGCTGGACCCTCCCACATTACTCAACAATCAAGAAAATGCCTCAAAGACAGGCCCACAGGCCAATCTGATAGAGAATATTCCCTGAGGTTCCCTCTTCCCAGGTGTGTCAAGTTCACAAGTGAAGCTATCCTGTATAGGCTTCAATTACTACATCAGGAACACTCCAAGTTAGCTAAGAATGCAAATGGTAAAATAAATCTAATGCGGGATACAACATAATCAGTTCTACTTGCCAACATAGGCCTCATGTCAAGATACAGAGATTTTAAGTATTATATATTTGCTGCTTTGCCCCACACTAGCTTACATGAAAACCAAGAAATAATATATTACAAGAGGGAGTATGACCAACTGGGGGACACAAGCATATTTTCTCTTTTCTAAATGCTTCTTGATGATGTTAAATTGTACTGACTTCCCTACTGGGAACTTGACTATACAACACAAGAAAAGGAATCAGTATGCCAAAGACACATCTGTCTTCCCATGTTTATTGCAACATTATTTCCAACAGCCAAGAGAATGAACCAGCAGAGTATGCGACAAACAAATTAATAAAGAAAATGTATTATTACCCAGTGAAGACCGATTCAGTCTTAAGAATGAAGTTTTGTCGTTTGAAGCAACATGAATGGACCAGGAGAGCACTACTTTAAGTGACAAGCAAGGCACAGAGAGCTAAATTGACACAGCGGCAACAAGAAACGTGAGAAAAGGCAGAACCAGGATGTCTTTCATCTTCTGTCCCCAAAGGTAAATGCAACAGGAGAAAAGACTGTTCAGGTGAATTCAGACTCCCTGTCCCGAAGGGGAGACGGTTTCTTGCAGAACAAGGTGAAGGAGGTGGTTCTGCTCCGCAGTCAACAGCGGCCACATCTCCACCTGCAGCATCTTGATGGCGTCCGTGTCCTTTTCGTGGGCAGCCATGACCAAGGACTGAAGGAGCAAAAACAGCTCTTCGGGAAGCTGGCTGGTGCTGTCCTGGCCATGGCCTGCGAAAGCCTCCCAGGAGTACTTCTCCAGGGTACGGGCATGCTCGGGCAGCAGCTTGGCGGGCGGGGGCTGCAGCAGCAGTAGCAGCAGCACACGGGACACCTCGCACCTGACCAGCACGTCGGAGAAGGCGCCCAGCACGCCCGGCGAGGGCGCGGCAGAGCCCAGGGCGTGGTCCGGCGGCAGCATGGCGCCCAGGGGCGGGGCCCCGCCGGCTCCGGGCCCAGGCTGCTGAGGCCCCGGTGCGGGGG